GGGTGTCCTCCTGCCACGTGCACTCTGTGAGCAAGGTACCACCCCACATGCAGCCAACCCTCCCCAGAAACCTTCAGACAGGATTTGGGCATCAGGACTACCTGTTTCTTCATCCTCCTCTGGCAGCAGGTACTCCACCAGCTTCTCCAGCCCTCCCAGGGCTGTGTCGACGCCTGCGGCTGCCATCTGGGTCACCGAGTTCCTCCTCGTGTACTTTGCTGTCGTTTCCACCAAGGTACCACCCCACATGCAGCCAACCCTCCCCAGAAACCTTCAGACAGGATTTGGGCATCAGGACTACCTGTTTCTTCATCCTCCTCTGGCAGCAGGTACTCCACCAGCTTCTCCAGCCCTCCCAGGGCTGTGTCGACGCCTGCGGCTGCCATCTGGGTCACCGAGTTCCTCCTCGTGTACTTTGCTGTCGTTTCCACCGTGCTCTTGGTGGCCTCGTAGCCCTCTGCTGCCAGCTCCTTGATCTTATCCACGGAGTTGCCAATGGTGCTTTTGGCACTTTGGAGTGGGGAAGAGATGGTGTCCTTCAGTTCAGATGCGAGCTGTGGGTGGAGAGACGGAGAACATCCCTGCCGGTGTGCTCGAGGTGACATGGGACAGCTGGAGGGACCATAGGGACCCCAGCCATGGCCATGGTAGCAGATAGACCCAGAAGGGGCATAAGAGCTCTCTCCAGCCTGGGCTGGAAGTAGCTGGCAGGGATGGGACATACATAGGACACTGTTGACCTATATTTGGGACCGCCCCAACCATCCCCTGGGCTGCAGGAGCCCTGGAGGAGCCCTTGCTTAGAGGTGCTGTCTTGTTCCCCACCCCCAACAGTCCGTTAACATCCATCAACAAGACCATAGGAGACATGCTGTGGGCTCTGATGAGGAGCTGGGGGGGGGTCCTAGACTGTCCCACCTGTGACTTACCTTGTCAACAGGGTACTGGAGGGCAGGGATCTTCTCCTCCAGGTGGTCCAAGCCCCGGCAGGCCAGGTCATTAGCCACAGCGACTGCCTTGGGCAAAAGCAGGGGGTAGGTTGGTGAGAAAAGCCCCCGGGCTGTGCTAGGGGGTCTCACATGCTAGTGCCACCACTGTCCCACCAAGGGAGGCTCTGGTGGGCTCCCCCCTGCCATGTACCCCCCCGGTGCATGGACTCACACTGAGGCTCCAGCCTGCGCACCACGGGCTCCACGCTCCGCATGGCCAAGGCACTGGCACCCTGGACACCCCGCTCATAGACCTCACACACCGAGGCCATGAGTGGGTGGGCCTCCTTGGTGCTGGCGTAGGTCCTCTGGAGGCTTTCGCAGGTCGAGCTCACCACCGGCAGCTGCAAGACCCTCTGCAGCACGTTCTCCTGTGCACGGAAGACAGGATGAGTTAGCCAACAGCCCTTCCTCGAGGAACCCCCATCGATCCCATGCTGGTGGCATTCGGTATGTCACAGTGACCACAGAGGACCTCAGCTTGCATTAGAGAAGGAGGACATTTCTGAAACCCCTTGTGAGGTTTCAGAAACCCAGCTATGTTGCCTACAGCATAGCCATGGACAACCAGGCTGGCTGCTGCCACTGAAGGAGCAGGAACACGACAAGCAGTGTCAAAGGAGTGACAGTTCCCACTCCATCTCTCAAGCCTGACCATCCAGGTGCTCTCTTTGGCTTTCCACTCTGCTCTGCTGCTCCTTCCATCTAACCCAGCCCATGCTCCTGTCCTTGGACCAGCAAAGTCCATTTTGCCTCTGTGGCACCTCTTTCCTGTCTGTCCTGTCACCACTGTGACAAGTAAGGGATAGGGACCTCAAAAAGGAGAAGGGGAGAGGAGCAGGTCTGTGCCTTTGATGGCACAAAGAGTTTTGGTAGGAGCCATTGAAGAAGAGTGCACCAGAGATCCCCAAGGCACCATGTCCCCATACCCTGCTAGCACAGGCGACGGTGGGTGCCAGTATAAACCAGCACAGCCAACACCTGTGTGTGCTGCCAGTGCCAGAGCACTGCAGGTAGGTCCCTCAAAGCTGGGTGAGCAGGATAAACCTGCAGCTCCAGCCCTCAGCTCCTGCTCTCACCCGGCTCCCACCTGGTGAGGTGACACAACTGGGAGAGATGCTGCAGCCCCACAGGTGGACCAGGGCAAATGTTGGCTCATCACAGCAGCCATGAGGTGGGTGCTCTCTGGGTTGCATGGGACAGAGCAGAAGAAAAAGCTGAGCTTTCCTCTGATCACTGGTGGGCAAGAGGCCAAGTTTGGGTCCGTGTCCCACCTGTGACCACGACTGGACTGTGAATCTGCATGTTTGATAAAAACTACACTATTTTGTGCCACGTTGTGCTAATTTTGGCTGGACACGGAGCCAGCCCTCTCACAAATCCTGCAGTTCAGCAATCCTGGGGGCTGTAGCTGTTCCAAGGAGCCCAGCAGCACAACTGCTGGAGGTTTGGGGACCACAGTGGGGACACAGATGAAGGACAGGCACTGCCTGCAGGTATCACCCAGGGCTCGAATCAGCTCAGGGTTAATTTTCTTGATTCTGAACTATTTAACTTCAAGCAAGCAAAAGGTTTTATCCTTTCCCTGTGATGATGCTCTGTGTTATTGCAGGTAAAGATCCACATAAAGATAAGAGGGGGACAGGTGACATGGTGTGAGATGTGACTCATGTTCATCTGGCAGAGCTGGTACGTGCTACCTGGCACCCTTGGCACACCCCTGCCCTCCCCTCTCTCCCTCTTCCCGCACCCACCTTGGTACTTTCATTCTGCAGAATCTGATCCTTCTTTGCTGTCATCGTGATGGATCCACCTGCAAAGCCAAGTTGGGAGCCACAGACCCCGCTGCGAAGGCAGAGCTGGGCTCGGGCTCCCCCACCTCACCCCTGCACCCCCCGAGCACAGCGGGGCTGGAAGCTGGGCTGAGACACACCTCCCATGGGTGCGACGGATGCAGCATTGCCTAATGCTTGACTTTTTACCAGTTAAACTGTAGAACCAATGACTCCACACAGCCCTCCCCTGCTGGTGTGTCTTAGCACCCAAAGATGCAGAGAGTTAGTTGAGAGGCATCTAGTTTGGAGGAGCTACAGTGTGAGGCAGGATGAAGAACACTGGCAAAGCAAATTCAGAGCAACCTGGACACTAACAGATGTGCATGGGGGCCAGGGTGAGAGATGCAGGCTGAGAGGGTGAGAGATGCAGGATGAGCACGTGAGAGATGCAGGATGAGCAGGTGAGAGATGCAGGATGAGCAGGTGAGAGATGCAGGATGAGGAGGTGAGAGATGCAGGCTGAGGAGGTGAGAGATGCAGGTTGAGAAGGTGAGAGATGCAGGCTGAGAAGGTGAGAAGTGCAGGCTGAGCAGGTGAGAGATGCAGGCTGAGAAGACGAGAAGTGCAGGCTGAGCAGGTGAGAGATGCAGGCTGAGAGGGTGAGAGAGGGTGAGAGATGCAGGCTGAGAGGGTGAGAGATGCAGGCTGAGAAGGGGTAAGAAGGCAGGACAGGAGCAGAGAGAGGAGCTGTGGGTCGGGATGTGGTGAGTTGCCCAGCCATGGTCAGCATCCCCTGCCACACATCTGCTGCTCACGATGCCAGTGCCCGTCCCTGTGCAGCCCCAGCTTGATGCTGGGGGCAAAAGCACCACAAAACACCCATCCCCACTGCTCCCGGCTGGGTGACAGCTGAAAGCACACCTCCAGCTCCCACCCCTGGCACAGACACTCTTTTCTCAGCAGCAGATGAAATTCAGGAGATTTATGGAGTGTGGGTGATCCCTGCTCCCACCACCCCAGTCCCACTGAAGCTGTCTCCAGAGCACCCAGTGGGGACAGGCGACTCACCAAGGGGCAGCCCGTCCCCAGCAGAGCAGGACCAGAGAGTGGTGGCTGCGCCGTCCCTTCGCCGGGGGCCTCTGAGAGTGATGGCCAGTGCCACTACCACCACGAGGCCCCACCTCCCAGTTGCATGGGTTTGGGAGCTGGCGAGTTGTGGTGGAAACTGGCCAAAGAGCTCCCTGAAACCACCATAATTTGCAACAGATGACAGCAGAAAATCCCCTTTGTCCTCTTCCCTGCAGAGCACAGAAGCTGGGATGCACAGGGGTTTAATGCCACTCCACTGAGAGAAAATGATATTAAGTCACCCTTGGACCTCACCACCTCAAAAGCAACAGATCATGAGCAACCAGGGAGAAGGTGAAGGATCAGGGAGGCTTTCCTGAGAGATTAAAACCTTCCTGCAGCCCCTGTTATCCCCTGTGGAGGACCAGGATCCTACCTTGTTGGGAAACACAACACAGACCAAGGACATAGTTTCTCCCCAGGAGAGTTTACTAAGCAAAGGGAGCAGAAGGCAGACATGGCAGGGACATCCTGCACAAAACAATCTAGTTTGGCCAGGTCTGCCATTTCTAAAAGAATCCACTGAGGATTTTGGGGAGGAGGCTTTTAGCTGATGGTCAGGGCAGACATTGCACTAGGAAAGCTCTAGGCATTTGGAGGAGAGAGAAATGGAGGAAAACATCAGGTTGGAAGTGATCTCTGGAAGTCACCTCATCCACTCTTGCTTAAAGCAGGGCTACCCTCAAAGCTAGATCAGGCTTCTCAAGGCCTCATCCAGTCTTGAAAATCTCCAAGGATAAGATTCCCATCTCTCTGAGGCCCAGCTCCAGTGCTAACCACACTCAAGGTAAAACATTTTTTCCTTATGTCCAGCCGGAATTTCCTCTGTTGCAGCTTGTGCCTGCCACCTCTTACCCTCGCTCTGTGCACCTCGGAGCAGAGTTTGTGCTCCAGTCTGTGCTGGTACAGCACGTGCTCCATGCCCCTCCTAATGATTCTCTGCTGGACTCTAGTCAACATTTCTCCTGTGCTGATGGGACCAAAACAGGACACAGTTCACAGATGTGGCCTCACAAGTGGTTCAGAGAGGAACAGCTGTTCTCCTTGACCTGCTGGTGATGCTCTCATTACTGTTGCTCTTTCGTGGCCAGCCTGCCTCGCTGCACAGGAGGCACCCTGCCAACTCACATCATAATTAACAAATCCATTTGTGGTATTGATTGAAAAGAAAGAAGACAACACCTGTATGAAGCTGTGATGCATTTTGGTTATTGACTACAGAGATCAAGGACGAGCCACACTGATGAGATGAGGACAGCATGGTGGAAAGGGGACAAATGCCAGAGAACAAAGCAATAACCCAAGGAGATCGGTGAAGATGGGAGATCCAGGCAGCCTGCTGACACAAGGCTGCTGCGTGTCCTGGACCACGGGGCACCAGGCAGGGAGACTCTGGGCGTGCGGCTGAAACGAAGCTGTGCGCTCAATGCACCTGCATGACCCTCTGCTCCTGGCTGTGCTGCTCGTACGTGGGAGACTTCCCAGGGATGTGGGAAAGCCACACGTGGCAGGAAAATACCCCCTTTCCTCCCCAAGAGCCTGGAGTTCACTTCCAGCCCCGGGGCTCGGCCAAGCTCACAGGCCTGCCCTGCAAGCTGGGTACTGAGGTGTACGAGTGTCCTGGGCCGCCTCCAGCTCGGCGCTCGGTGAGTCACTGCTCTCCAGACAGCGGGACAAAGGGCAGCAGCCTGCTCAAAAGTTTGCTCTCCTGGCACCAAGATATTTTCCAGTCCTGCTGGCTTTGCTAAAAGTGCAGGGGGCATGCTAACCTTCACTCTGCCTTGGCTGGAGTTGGGATCAACAGACAACACAGCCTTTGCCCTACTAACGCCTTCGCTCATCTCCTCCCCTTCCTCCGGGCCAAAGGCTGTGCCAGCCCCGGGCTCTGCAGTGCAAAGGTACCACTGCCTCCAGCCCACACCAGAAATACTTTCTGTGTTTCTGCAGGCAACATTTAGAGCTCACTGGATCAGCTGGGTGCTGGCAAGCAGAGTTTTACACCCTTGTCTCTGCAGTCAGCTCCACAGCCATTAATGTACTGCGGTGAAGAGATGGGCCAGATCCCCAAAGACCTGCAGGGCATGGTTAGGTCTGGGAGGGAGCTGGAGAAGTCACTAATTTATTTCCATGCCCTGTGGCAGCACGTGCACCCTCTAAACCACTGCTGGCAGATGTCTGTCCAGTCTTTTTAAGGACTTCCTTCCTGGGCAATTCATTTAGTCTTTTATTTTACTTACAGTTCAAAAAAAGTCACCTGTGTGACATGATTCTCCTTTGCTGCAATATAAAGGTATTGCTTCCTGGATGGATTTAGAGACTGATTTATTGCCTTCCTCTTAGCAGTCAACCTTTTAGACACTTGAAGATTTCTCACACCTTCCCTCAGTCACCTTTCCTCTACAGAACCAGGTAATTTGGTCCTTCCCTGGAGATGTTCTAGACCTTTGATTGTCCTTGCCGCTCACCTGGGAATCCTGACTGGCTCAGGCATTTCTCGAAGTATCATGCCAAGCACAGCATTAACATTAGGAAGGCCTTGTCTGTAAGTAGAATAGAAGATTACTTTGCACATCTCACACTGACCACTCTCCTGTTAACTGTTTCCATTATAAAATGTGGATGAGACCAGTAATTCAGAAGGAAACTCTTGCTAAATCACTGCTGAATGCAAAGCTTTATACATTGTTCAGGAACTGGTATTTTGGAGCTTCCAAGTTTGTAAGGCTCTTACTGTGGGGGATAGGAGCTAACAGTAAGTTCTGTTTTAATGGTTATCCTGGCTCCATCCCTCCCCATCTCATCCCTTCACTCCCTACCCTGGACCGACATTTGTTGTTAAACAGCTCCAGTGACGTGCCCCACGACACTAAGACACATCCAGGGGCAACTGATGGCAATTCTGAAAACATCACTTTGTTTCAGGGCATGTCACACATGCAGTTTTACCTGCCACTCACATAGTTACTTCTTCACGTTTTTGCAACTGAAATGGGGATTGTAAATGAGTCTGATGAATCTGGCTGCCACCTTGCTACTGCAAAAGGAAAGCTCTATAACCCCAGCACAACTATAGGCAATGGCTCTTTAACAGTATCATCCTTCATAAAATTCAGCGATGGGAGGGAGGATTCCTTCAGCATCTCATTTCTCCACCTTCTCAGTTACACACACAGACACAATGTCACACTCATCTCAGTTTATTGCTTGTGTTCAAACAGCTGTCCTTATTCCAGCTGCTGTGTTAGAAACAGATATCAAAAAAAGGCACTAAAAGGATTTTCTCCATTTGCCACGATTCCACGGCTTCAGTCACATTATGTTAAGGTACATTAAACTGCTAGCCTCCAGCTGCAGGGCAGAAGGAAGGCAAGTATTAGTGCTTAACATCCAGTAAACAAAGTCACTCCTGTATGCTCCAACCCACGTCACGTAGAATGGGACAGGTAAGGCTGAGACAGGCTGAGAATTCACTGCCCCATCTCCAGGGCTAAGTCTGTACTTGCTAATCCACGCCAGTCCCCACAGGAGAAACATCAAAGCCTGGCTCATGGCTCTGCACAGTGTTTGCCAGGCACAAGAGAAAAAGCCACCCTTCTCCCTCAGCAGGGCACAGGGAGGTGTAGCTGGCTACGGGGCCACATCACTATATTAATCCAGTTCCCTTTACCTATGAAGCACGGGAAAAAAAAGAGACATCAGTTTGCAAAACAATGAAAAGTATTTTGTATCCAAGAGCTTCCCTGAGAAGAATTCAAAACACATTATTTTGGCAAGATGAAATTCTGTAGACAAAGGGTGGCCAAACCTCTGCTGCCAGATCATCAAGACTCCTCTTCTTTCCTTACAGGGATCGTTACACACAGGGATAATGATTAAATCTGACCAAGGGAGGGATGGGCTCCACACTGCCAGGAGCTCAAAGGCCAATGGAGTAAAGAAACAAAACCAATCAATTGTTAAAAAGGAGAGGAAGCCCTTGAAGACAACATACCCCATACTCATGCTCCATTATGGTCTGAACTGCCAGTACACTCTATTTTTAATGGTATTTATTTTCATACTAAAAAGAAGAGCTGCTGCAGGCTGCATCTGGTCTTCAAGAATACTTAATTATCCTGCCCAGTCACCTCTTTTTTTTCAAACACTTCACTGGCAGGCTAACACTTCAGATTCAAACTGGAAGTAATTCCAAGCCTGACCACAATGACTTCAGGTAAACTGGGGCGCTGCCTTACTGTGCCTACTCAATTCCACAGCCTTCACCTTTTAATAAAGGAGACCAGCCCCTTTTAATTTCTGTTTTTGAACAGCATCAGAAATAATAAGAGAGTACCCTGGTCCAGGTTAGTCTCTGCTCCCATTTCCTGACAGATAAAACAAGGAGTCCTTGCACCAGAAAGCAGCAGAACACACAGGCCTAACTCTGATGAAGAAAAATTATAATTTTATCTCCTATATAATGTACAATTTTTTCTCAGGTGTCAGAACTGGTACTCTGCAAAGTCAGGGGCAACAAAGACTGTATGCCATGTTAGACAGCTGGACACAGCACTCCTCCTTTAACCCAGATTACTGCCAGGCAATCACTCCCAGCGAGGTACGTGACGAGCAATAATACCATTGCAGGGCAAGTGTGAGGCATTTTCAAATGGTAGAACCCATTCAAGCAGCGAGGAAACACAAGAAATCTTGTGGCCATGACAGGGGAGGATAGGGAGGATCAGATAGGAAAATATAAACCATTAATGCCCAAATCCAGTAATAAGCTTTTCTTCTCACAGGGGATTCAGATAGTATCATGACCAACTCCATTCCCTTCCCTCTGGGAGCTTACACAACTAGAAACACACCCTTGCAATTTTTCTGACTCAACGAGCTCTGAGACAGGCTTCTCTCCTTAACTGTAGGTTCCAAAGCTCCTTATTATACTGGAATTTTCAATTTAAAACTAAAACAGCAAAACAAGCTCCTTATCACGATATCATTAATGGAAAATGGTTGCGCATGGAACCACAGGGGTTTGGGAGTTAAGATGCGTGTGTAATGGGAAATTTAGTGCTTGTGAGTGGTTCCAGATTCACAGCTTTGGAAACCCAGTTCCCTACAAATCACAGCGCTATCAGCACTCAGACAAGCTTCTCCTCCACGCTGTCCTTCAGCAAAACCCTCAGCCATGGCCTGCTGGAGAAATCAGACTCGATGGCCAACAGTCCACGGCTCATGTTACTGAAGGAAAAGAAGAAAGTGCTGATTTCCTGGGACACAAGTTGGCACTTGTAGACCACAGATCCAGCGTCACCAGTGCACGTTACACAGAGATTCCCTGGAGGTCAGATCATACCACTCTTCAGTTACCATCACACTGCATTCAAACCACTAGAGATAACAGGATCCATCAACCCAAACACATCAGAACACTCGTACTTGACTTCAGGCCGTTTTAACCACAGCTCCTAATTTGCCTGAACCCACTATAGAAAGTCTGACTGTAGGAACTTTTGATTGGTGAACTGCAGCTTTCCAGTGTAAACATGATTAGTTATGAGTCACATACCTATTACAGTTGTCTATGCAGCTATTTCACAACCCTGTATTAAAATATAGGAACATCAATGTTTCCTTATCTAGCAGCTGTGTTCCAAGTCCCGTTTCTGTTTGTGAAATATTACTCCACCTTCTCCCATGTCCACTCCATCAGGGAGTGTGTCATAGCACCAAACTCATCTACAAAGACACAGGGAAGGAAAAAAGGTAGAATTCACTTATTCAGAGGACAAAATTAATCTTGAGGTTACTGTGAGACATGTTCATTCTGAAAGTGCCATATGGAAGGTAAAAAACTACCACAGGACCAAAGCTGTTGGCTTGCTGCATACTGTGCAGCTCCTTTTACGTCACTGTTTCAGCTTCAGATGTGGGCTTACTAAGGTGAGGATTCCCACCAGTGAGGAGAGGACACCACAGAAACCAATCACTCCTGGGTTGGTCTTGTAGATTCCTAGCGTATCCAAAGGGCCTGAGAGATCACAGAGATTCTTCACCAAGTCCAGCAGCAAAGGAGGATGTCTTTTCAGTATCTGAAACAGCAGGAGGAGAAAACCGTGCAAACTCTCACATTTCACCGAGTTTAGTTCCTGATTGCATTTGTCCCAGAAGAAATTCTCCTTTGTCTTTTCTTCCTGTACAACTTGTTCCAGCCTCCAGGAGATCTCATACCAGTCCCTGGCTAGATTCATCAGGAGTGAAAAATAGTAACACTTGGTAGCCCAATTCCGCCACTTTGGCTTATCGATGTCAGGTTGGAGGCCAACGCTCCTCAGCCACAGGACCGTATCGCAGACGAAGTAGAGAGCACGGGTCAGGTTGGAGGCTGTAAGGCAGAACCGAGGAACCACATCTGGCAGCTGGGTAGTTCTCCTGGCTGCTACCAAGGCATGTACCATGTTGCCCAGTCTGAACACTGCAAGAAATCCCACACAAAGGTTACTATGGTGTGGCTTCTACCACAACCAGAGACACAGCCCTGCGCAGGACAACTCAGCATGCCACTGTTCACATGTACTTTTGAAAAACTTAGTGGGCTTTGGGCATTTGTAGGCTTAAGCATTTTCTTCTCACAGCGTGAGAAGCTAATATTAGTGAGGAAAGGGATGTTTTGTCCTGCAGCAGCCCAGGACCTACACACAAATTTTGTCAATAGCCCGGACTTGCAGCCTTCTCCTGCCACTCTGTTCTCAGCACCTGGGTGCCCTCTGGACCAGTATCACCAGCTGCTCTGAATGAGTCAGTGCCAGTAAAAAAGTGGCACAAACAGAGCCTCCAATTTCAGCTGTATTGGATTTCACTTAATTCTGTGTACAGGGGATGTTACTGCACTAACCCCGTTACAATCATGAGCTACATCTCTCCTAAGCTTCTGTGAGCGCTGGTGATTTGTGTGCCAAGCACACTGAGACCCAAGTCCCTCCTCAGCCATGAATTGGTCAGAGGTACGTGTATTTCCCTGTAAACAGGAACAGTATATTCCATTTCAATCTATAATACATGGCAAGTCTGATTTCACTCGCTGCACAGTTTAGGTTTTGCCTTGTGAATGTTAATACAATATTATGCAAAATACTTTTCATAACCTGCTGTGCTGTCACAGTGACAGATGTTGTCAGCACCCAAGTTTAGTGGAGCTGCAAGTCCTGAATTTAGGCCTGACATCTATTAGAGATTTGTTTAGCAGAAGCAAGAGAATTACAGCTATGTTGATAAACCAGCTGGCCTCTCTGCTAGAAATTGCCATACTCTGGAGATAACTGGAATAATAAAACAAACCCATGCTAACACATTAAATTAGAATATTTGCCTCATATATTGAAGTTGTTCCAGGATTGAGCAATTGATAAGTAGGGGTAAGATCAACCCGAAAGCACAGCAACAGCATCAACATAATGGATGCAACTGTGACACAGAAGGAAGTGATGCAAATGGTTAGACTATGAGAAAAACATGGAAGGGCATATGATTTAGTAGAATATGAATGCTAATGAAAATTAGTATGTGAAGCAGAATATAAAAAGCCATATTAAAGGACGGTCCTTCAGAGGTGATTTTATTGGGATGATGATCTTTAACGTTAGGCCATCTCAACCCATTAGCTGAAAGGACTAATGAGACCGTGGTAAGCCAGTCTTGCATTGTAACTCTGTGGTCTGGCCTTGAACAGAGACAATGATCTGATCTCTGCAGCAACAGCTTCCTGATAACTTATTTCTTGAGTTCTCTCAGCAATGATACGGATTGCCTAATCAGAGAGGAAGCTGAGGAAGCAATACAGGGCTATTCAGCTCTATCCAGCCTGGCCAGCCAAGGCAGGGATAAGGTATATTGACAGGTTGTGGCTATGTTAAAAGAGGTTTTGTGGCTCAAGGTAAGTTAACTACAGAAAAAGCAAGTCCAGGAGCTGTTTTACTGGAAGGAGTGAGTGAAGAAGGACTTATCCCTCTAGACACCAGGTACTTACTTTTCCGGCCAGAGCTCATGCTAGATTCCAACTGCTTGAGTTTCATTACCAGCTTCTCTTTCTCAGCCTTACGCTCTATTAAATAGCTAAGCAACATGCATGTGTACTGAGTGGCTCTGCAATGCAAAAAACGAGGAGAAGGGCACAGAGGTGAAACAGGGACAACCCCAGGAATGGCAGCAGCAGGGCAGCGCTTCTCCCCGAGATAAGGTCACCCCCTCGCACCCCCACGGTGCCAGGGCGAGTTATAACCAGGGGC